CCCCCGTCTCTTTCTGGGCCCTCCCGGGAAAAACTTTATAGCCGCCGACGGCGGACAATGAGAATACGCTCGGGAATTCACTGAAACTTCGATGAAGATGCAAACTTATAAAAATGTACGGAGACCCCAAACGAGAAACAGAATTTCAACGAGAAGAATTTAAATTAAAAGGAAGCAAAGTTCTCAGTATGTCCAATTAAAAAGATTAAGAGAAATTAAGCAGATGAGAGCAAAAAAGTTGATACAGTGAAATAATAAATCTAAAAATAAATGCAACATCAATGTCTAATTATTGCTCGAACATTTGATCTTACTTTTAGACTCTCATCAACAATAAAATATAAGTTCACAACACAAAAACACGTTGTTCATACACGGAGAGAGTATTATCATTTTTCTTTCATGTAAATTCTTGGCAGTTTTATTATATTTTTGGTAATACAGAAATAGACTGTCAGTAAAATCTATCTTGCTTAATTACGTTATAAATATAGAAAATTGTTTAATAGTACATTTTATTTCCTAAAATATAAGTAGTATATTTCACTTCCTAAAAGATATAAGTAGAAGCGTAAAAAATGTTTTAATACATTTTATTTCCTAAAATATAAATAAAAAGATAGTTAATTACTGCAGAATCTTTATCTGTTTCCAAAATGTTTCAAAATCTTGTAGTAATTTTTGTAGAAAATTCCCTCCGTGTAGAAACCAGAAATTCTGTTTCCCTCAACCAAAACGCATTTGGTTCGTTCATTGTCCGACTAATTTGCTCTCCGTAAAGTATACGTTAACTAGATATACATAATCAATTGCACATCGTGAACAGTATTATCAATCTTCAATGTAAACTGTGCAAGTGGAAAACACGCAAGAGCACATAAAGGAGAGCATAACAGATCAATGTGTCCGTTGCAAAGCGAAACGCAAATCGAATGCACATCTATGCCACGTAGAAATACCCACTAGTTAATTAAAAAACTGAGTAGTCGAGCGGAAAGTCAAACGAATGAAAAGTAAAGTGTGCTACACTTCACACATCTTGCTCTTACTTGCCGTTTACTGTTCCTTCGTTTGCAAGAATTTTACTTGAAAAAACGAAAATTCCATTTCTCTACTCGCTCCTCTTCGCATGGTCCTATTTAACTATCAAATAATAACAACATCATAACTATATCAAATAATAACAACGCTGGCGCTCAGTAGGGAGAGAAGAACTGTTAGAATTCGCGCGCGAAGAAACGTCGAAGGTCGTTAAAGGAAGGATTACCATAACGCGAAAATGTCGAAATCTGCAAACAATGAAGTGGCTGGCATTCATGATTCCAAACTTCGTAATTACTTTGTGCTAGAAAACGAAACTAGACCACCGCGCGCCAGTGAGAACATCGTTGGCGAAATGTGTGGTCCCGACGTAATCCACAAAGTATGTCCCGATGTTGCCGCGGCGAAGACTCATCCCCGTACAGCGGGTTGCAAAAAACAGTTTAGACACAATGAAGTTGTCTTGAAACTGTCAATGAAGCTGTCAAAACTGAGAGTCACTATCGACCGAATATTATCAATAGTATAACTAAGAACAATAAATAATATTAAGTAATAATAGCACTAATAATAATTAATAGTTATTGTTATTAATAGTTACTGGACAAGAGCCTGTCACAGTGACGATTCTCAATTTGAATAGCTTGATGAGCTCCCAACTTCATTGTGTCTAAACCGTTTTGCAAGCCACTGTACATCGGCCGATTTGCGGTTTGCGAAAAACGCGCGGTGAAGCGAGGCGAGACGCGGCGCGGCGCGGCACGGCCGTTCGGATGACCGTGCGGAATTTGACACGCGTGACTTCGCGTCTTGCCGATGATCTCGTTCTTCGCGAAGTCGGCGAAGTCGACGACGAGTATAATTACGAGGCGGACAAAGGATGTGGGACGTCGAGCGCGAAAAAGCGCGCGTGACCGAACGGACACTCGCCGTCGTCATCGTCGTCGAAAGAAAGAAAGTGACCGTACGAGCTCGCGTTTGCTATCGCGTTCGGCGGGAAAAAAGAAGGCGGTCGTCGACGACGACGACGATGATGACGACGGTGACGAGTTTTCGTTGCGCCGCCGATCGCAGGTGACGAAAAACGACCTGACCGGACCAATTACCCGCGAAAGCGCTTCTCAATAATATTCAGGTATTGATCGCACATCGAGTCATCTTATCCTTCTTATCATTTTGTTTCTATCAGTGATGTCAATTCCGAATACTTGGGTATTTCGGAGATCTAAGTTCTCCGGGTGTTACTTCAGTTACTATTTATTCTCGTTACTAGTGTTTCTCATATTTAGTTCTCAAGCCATTCTGTGTATACAAGTGCTAAAAGTAAGGCCAACAAAAAATATTGTATTAAATTGTGTAATAATTTCGAATTTTTCAGGTAAAATGAAACGATTATATTTTTACGTTGTTACAATTTTCCGAGACAATGTATGCTCTGACTACGATCTTCTGTCATCCTACGCATACATTGTTTCGTGAAGTTATACAATAAGCCATAAAAATATAATCGTTTCAATATATATATGCCTAAAAAATCCGCAATTCCTTATTATATAATCCAACAGATACTTTGCGAGATATCTCAGTTTTTATTTTACTCTCTGAAGTTCTAAAGTAAAATTTCGCACGAAAAGTACAGACTAATTTCGATCTAAGTAGTGATCATCGGAATATATTCATTCTAATCGATTGAAACATTCGCTCATATGAAGCCAAAATTCACTCAAATTTTAATGAAATTGATTCACTCTTATACCTTCGAGTGGCAGTGTTTTCACTATCGTTTTGAGTAAAAATACTGTCACTTTTTGTTCGTTATGAGTGAAAATCCAATCCAAGGAATTTAAGAAGTAGAATATATCAAAATGAAATATGAAATATCTAGCAAAATATTCATTTGTCATTGACCTTATTTTAATGCTTTTATATATAGGAGAAAGAATTTGTGAGAAGAATACATTAGGTACATGACACTACTCAAAAAAATTTAGTACTCATGAATTTGGGTACCTTTCCTTCCCCGGCGGAGTCTGAATACTGCCTGAAGAAATATCTAAGTATTATATTGACAGCACTGGTTTTTGCGTTTACTCTTTATCCTTATTCTAATATTGACTTTTTAACTCTTAATATAGTAATATGAAGGCAATCTCGAGGATCTGACTGCTGATGAGGACTCCAAGATCCCTGAGAATCCTTGCTGGCAGGGACGTCAATGGCGCCAACGGTCGACTGGACGTCTCATTCACCCACGAACGGGTTTCGAGGTGGACTCCTCCGGTGGGTCGTAAAAAAACGGTAAATCGAGAGAGGCCGAAGCGCGCGCGCGCGCGCGCTCACGTACATACAGGTGATGTTCGATCGCTAATTCAGTCTCGCGTCTCTCGTCTCTCTTTCACGCCGCTGAAAAATGTGCATCGTGTAATGCACAATAATCCGCCTTCCAATGGCGGGAAGAATGTTCATTGTGAGGCACCGAGATAGAACGACGTCGTTTGTCATATCGCGCGCGACGCCCACGTAGAGCGACGTTCGCGTAAAAAGAAGAAAAAAGAGAAAAGGACAAGAAGAAAAAGGCCGAGCGGCAATGCGATAATAATTGCCGATTTTATGCAGCCAATGAAAGACGCCCACTTAAAGACGCAGGACGGGGCGCGCGGAGAGAATCACAGCGAGATCTCATTGACGGTCAGAAACGTCGCCATTGTCATTAAAATGCGTTTCAGCACAGAAATCTGAAGGATGTCGATCCTTGCTGCCGCATCGCGGCATCCCGGTTTTCCTCCGTTCTAATCTGTGAAACTCGCGATGTACATTGACTTTAATACGGTTTGAACACTTTTTTCTCGTTACAATCTCGAAAGTATCTATTCAATAGGAGAATTTATCTTTGAAAAATTTTGAGTAACTTTTATATGAGAAAATAATAAAATTTTATTTTATTCTATTCTATTTGATATTTTAGTTAATTTTGTTTTATTCACTTTTCTCTTAAATTACTTGTTAATAAATAACTAAATAAAAGACAAGTTCTCTTATTGGACATTAGCTACATCAGGAAAATAATATTCAAACCGTATCGAAGCCACGCGCGGATGTACCGATGTACGTCGAATTGAATTTTCAATGCTGCATAAACACGCCAGAGACACCTTTTCGCGCGATTTATTCGTGGCGATTACCCGTGGAGGTTTAAGAAATGATGAATTGTTTTCGAAAAAAATTTTACTGGCGACGTCTGATACGCGAATATGTCGGTTTTTTGACTGCCTTCAACGGTCGCGTGGCGCGCACCACGTGGTGACCGTCATGTTTGTCACACACATACGTACTCAATAATGTCCACGAAATCGCCTCGACTCTAAATAGTAGCTCGGGTTTTTTTAGCAGATCCACGACAACGTACATTTTTAACCAAACAACGTCGTTTTATTTCTCATTACGGTTTTCGACTCGTCAAGATTCGCAAATTCATTCCTTCTTCGTCGCTCCTTTCACGGCGAAGTTACGGAGATCCTTTTTTTAATTACAACATGATGACTTCAACTTCGTTTCGCTCACGACTCGTATCGTACTAATAACTACTAAGTGGTACTTGGTACTACTAAATGGACTTGGTCCACTTGTGTTTTCAGCGCATCGTTTGATAACTCGGTGAAATTTTAGAAATCTGCGAAGCGTGTCTCGCGTCCAGAACAGAAAATCACGAGGATGTCAAGATGACGCAAAAATGATTGTAAAAACTCATTTATTGATCATGATTCTGTCATTTTCTCATTATTTTGACATTATCGTTTCTGTTCTATCTGAGCACTCATATACACACACACATGAATATATCGAGGGTTGCGAGACATTACAGTAGTGATTCGAGATGAAGGGTTCAAGGAAGACGAGCGAGAGACGTTATGACACTCCTTCGAGGAAGTGCGAGCGAGCGAGCGATCGAGTCTCTCACGGATCTCGATTTCGCTCATCTCTCTCGGCGTCATCCTCATCATCATCATCACCCGCGTCAAGGACTCGTGGCGCGAACCAGGATTCACTCCTGGTATGCCGTACATGCGCACTTGTGTGCGTGCGTGTACGTGCGTTCCACGTGACGCAATCGAATGCCGATGGCTGCAGCAGATCCTGGCGTGCTCGTGTTTTGCGGATGCTACCGGCTAACGGTCGCTGATACACGAAGCCGCAAAACACACACACACGCACGCAGCGAACAGGCACACGAATACAGAGCGACTCAAAGGTGGCATCGGAAAATCTGCAGGTCGATCAATCTCTTCGCGACCGAAAAAACGTATTAGCGATCTTGTCTTCTCGCGCGAATCGCAAGCGCGTACATAGTCTCTTCACATTTATACTGACAGTCTGTTCTACTTTAAAATTGCGTTATATAATCCACGCTGCACCTTGAAGCGACTATATCTAAGTAATTCAAACGTTTGTTAAGAATTCTTATATTCTTTTTTCTTTTATTCTCAGATATACTCCGGCAAATTTTCGAGGAGCGCTTTTGAATCATCCCGTAGAACGCGCACGAATCTACGAAGCAACAGCGGGCCCCGGTGACGTCAGGCTCAGTGAATGGGTCTGCAGACTGGAGCTGTTCGCTTACCAATCCAACCAGAAGAGGCGCGAGCTACCGATCGCAAGAAACTCTCGAGAAATCGATCGATAATGCGGTAATGAGTTTCTTATACGTTGCATTAGCTTGCTAACTCTAGACAATTATTAGGTTGATCTATATATACGAATGTTCTGTTTGATGGATATGGATGAAAAACATGTTCTTTTTACAGTAATTCACGCGCCGCATTCAGACGTGATCCCGCAAGCATGCACTGTTGATAAAGTTGCGATCGATCGTGTTGATTGTACTCGAACGATCCGGATTTTGTAAATTCAATTTTGTTTTATCAAAAAACAGCACATCAGTATTTGTAATTTGTAAACAATATAATATTATCAACGCATCCCGATTTCGTGAAATTTTCAATAATAATGCAATGAAAATTTACGTGTTAAACTTGAAATAATTCTTGAAAATCACTTGTTGCATCTAAACTCGTCTACTAAATTTTTAATTTTTACTGTATCTATAAAATATTTAATATGCCATTATGCTATTATTGCTAGCAAAACAATTTGTAACCAAAAGAAATATCTTCTTTGCTATGTCAAAAAGAAGGTATTCGTTTCTCTATAAAAATAAATTTAAATTAAAATATTTAGATGAGCTGGAAAATATTTTTTGATTATTGTTTTTAAAATCAATAAAGGAATTTAGGAATTGTCCATTTTTGTTATCTCTTCAAAGAGAGTTAGACGGTTCTAGTTAATGTGTTACTAAAAAAATAAATTAACGTCGTTTAATCAACGTGAGGAAAGTTTAAGAAAGATAGGATACGCGTCGAAACATTTAATTGTGTCTAACGGTACATATCTTTTACTTTCTTTCTTATAACGTAAATCTTCACGCTAGATTCTTAGTATGCGCCGATCATATGTGTACAACTATTTAACTTAAGGAAAAAATTTAAGTCGCGAAGAATTCGCTTTAGTCGTGAATTGCAAGGTCGAGTCTTGTCGAGGTCAATTATTCATTTCTCATCGAGACTTCACGTCACAAGCTTTATACCACTTGATCTCATGATCGCTCGTCATCGCATAATTACACAAGACGCTTCAAGGCACATAGTGTCCATATTAAATACAAGAATAAATAAATGAAATTCATGCAACTCCTCCCGAAGATCGCCAACGATCTCCGGGATGTCCTCATCTCTGCGATCCTTTGGAAATTCGCACAATCATTATAAGAGGCAGTCCTCCACAAAATCCGGTCCATCCAAAAAAGACCGACGTTACTTCCGAGCGTCATTAACTCCAGAAAGATAGCGCGAGTAATTTTACTCATACTGTAAGCCTTTAATAACCGAAGCAAAGTCGTCACTCACTAAGATAAATATCACTACTTATAAGATATTACTGGAATGAGTAAAGATTACTCATCCTTATCTTAATCGTATGTTTCTGCTACCATTCTAGAGTTAACAAGAGTCAACAATCGCTCGACGTCGCCGGAAATTGCCGCTAAGAGGAAGATTCGACGATGAACGACTACCGCGAAGTCTCATCGGCTCCTCCTCGAGTCACCATTTTCCAGCGGGAATCGCCATTATCTAGAGGATCTACCGCACTAAACAGTGGCGGGCTGGGCCTCGGGGGGTATGCGAAAGACGCCGGTGAAGAGGATGTTGTGATTGGACTTGTCGTATATCAAATAGACGAATGGATGGTTGGCATTGAAAATTGCGGGCTCAGTCGGTCGACTCGATCGGAAGCTGAGGAGAGCAGTCGCCGCGGCAGCCGTTGTGCCTTCTTCCGTGACCTCGATTCTGGCGCGATGCACAGCATCGCCGAGATGCAGACTGGGTTCACCGTCGGCGACAAATCCACGCAGATCGGCAGACAGTGTCATAAGTTCTCCAGCACCCAGTTCAGCCAGAAGACTACTGATGGGGAGATTCCGCTCGATCGTAAATCGTGGGAAGCTAATCTGAACTTCCCGAAGAGGCATTCCGTCGTCGAGGAGTTCACGCAGCTCTCGCGATCCTCTCTCCGTCGCCAGTCGCTCCACTAGCTGGCGAATACCGTCCTGGGACTGACTGTCGGGACTCTGGTAAGAACGCGCGGTAGAGAACGGCGGTAACAACACGAACATGGAGATCTCATTGCCCTTGTATGGCAGCTCCAAGATGTAAGCGCCTAGGTCCTCGGAAACCACTGCAAAATGGTAAGGATGAGACGATCAATTGAGATGAAACAGCATCTCAAAATAGTTAAAACCACACAACAGTTGTCGTGTAATAAATATTGCTAATTAAGTGTATATTCTGAAAAGTTCTGCTTCAATAATCGAATCTTCTTTGATAAAGGAAATATGAATTGAGAAATTTCAAGAAGAAACACGAAGCGATAGTTATTGAAGTGCTAATTTTAGCGAATTTGAATGACGACAAATTTGTTTTTATCGCAAATTCAAAAAATCAATACTTTTAAAGATAATAAAAATTTGTATTTCCAAACATTCTAATCTCACAACAGGATTCTCTTCTGTAATAAATGTATAAATTGAAAAGTCTACCAAGAAAGTGAGACGGCACTTACTAAAACATTAACCAAGTTTGACACGATGAAAAAATGTTTTATCGCAATCAATTTCTACAGGTCCATAATACTACAAGCTGAAGTGCGCGTCACTTACCGTGATTAAAGTTTCCTTTCTGACGCATGAATTTGGTGACAGAATTCTGCGAGCCAGAGGCGTAGAAGATATCTCGCTTGGAGTTTTTGGGATCGAACCGATTCGTCCACAGACCCTTGAAGTAGACAGCATTTACCAAGACAAGATCTGTGCTGCTGTCGATGGTGGACGGGTCTAAGAGGTCGCGGATTTGACCTTTCGTCATATTGCTGACCCAGTTGTTGATATGTATCCGCGCCGCCTGAGGATTCGTATGGAAGTCTGTCTTCTGCAGCTGCTCGCCGAAGAAATCAAGCATGCATTCGCGTAGCTTCTTGTCATCCGCTACCCACAGTCTGTTCGCTGTGCTGTACTCGTAACTGTCGGACGTATTCTTCTGTAATGGGAAACGCTCAAGGTAAAAAGTTGTCATAATAACAGAAAGCGATTCACGTCGGCAGTCAGTTAGGAAGAACTCGCGGTAACTCGAAGCTACGAGTTCATCACGGCTACCGCTATAAAAAGACTCTTCGACCAAAAAATTATCATCCTTGAGATAACCAATTTCCGGTAACTCTAAATTATGTTTCCAAGCTCACATGTGTGGTCGAAGCTTTCGAGAAACCCTTAACCCACAACGGATGTCTGGTTTGTGTTTTACAATATCGATGCACATATCGACACATTCGTAAGAATATTATATAAGATTAAATGTCCTAGCCGATGAAAAATCACGCGGTTTTTAATATAGCTTCGTGTTCACAATCGGCGGGAAGGATCTACAAATCGTATGTCACGATCTCACCTTGCGAGCAAGGTGATCTTCGAATTATTCAAAGTCTGCCGGTAAAGAGAGAATCACAGCGGCTTTGGACACACGGAGAGACCTTGTGGAGCATTTTTAACTGACGTTGATGTAACGATAAACGGCGATTCGCCTTGACATGCCTGACGAGACCGACTCGAACATCCACTTGCGCAATTTATGAGCGCGAATGCGCATTGGAATCTCACCTGAACGTCGCGCATCTCGTTGAGGGAGTTCTCAAAAGCATAATAACGCTGCACATCGACCTTGGACAGGTCGTCAGGGATTCGCAGGGCGCGCTTCAGGTTGTCCTCGGTGATGCCGCGAGACCCGAAGTAAGCCAGACTGATCGCCTCGTGCAAACCGTGTGGGCTGAAGAAAATGTTTTCCTGCGTTTGGATCTGCACGGTTTTCTTCAGAGCTTGAAGGGCGAAATTGAAGCGTGCATCGATCAACGACATTTTCGAGACCGGATTCATCGCCGCGGGACTGTCGTTGCCCGTAAGACATTGCGCCGAAATCCCGCTAATCGCTAACAGAAATGGCAGCACCTGAAAGACAAAGGGAAAAAAGAAAGAGAATTAGAAAACAAAATTAATTAAAAGACTAACGTTACACAACTGATCGATAATATTATTGAAAAAAATTATCGTTTCTTTATTTGATAAAAAGAGATTAATTTTATTAATGATTAAGTACATTGAGAGACAAAATATCTAAAAAGTGAGAAACTTAGAAATTATTTTGTTTAAATAAAATAATCCATCACAAAATCGTTGCTTTTGTAAGAAGTAACGATTTTAGAAAGATATATATTAAGAAAAAAATACTTGAAAATTTATTTCAGTGAAATTCCACAAATAAATATATTTTGAAGTATTCTCTTCTCAATGTATATTCTCTCGTGTTTGAAAGAAATTTTTTCTCAATGCAAAAATATATATATTAGTTATATATATTAGTATAATAAATATGTTATTAGTGTAACTTCTTATTAGATATTTTTTTCTTTCAATGTAAGTTTTGTTTATAATATTTTGCCTCGGTTTTAATGGCTATTTTGCTATTTTGTTTAATTTAATTGTACATCTAAGAGAGTCTTGATAATTTAATTGAAAAAAGTTAAGCATCATTTAAAATAGGATTAAATCAGATTCCTGAGAACAGAATCAGAGATTCTTCTTCCTGCGAAAAGAATGTACGTAAAAATTTTCAAGGTTGATGATAATAAGAATCTTTTTATAACAGCGTAATCTCTTTTCAGTGTAAACTTTCTCTAATATCATTCGACAAACACAATCATGAATCGACGTGATCCACAACGACCTGATAACAAACAGAATGTTTGCTCAATATCCGCTTATCGTTACGAACGCAAGAAGGCAGAAGGTTAAGGGCATTCCATGCGAATAAGATACACACACGCTGACATCATTCCGTCGGTCAAATATTCCGGGGCAAAAAACTTTCTCGCGCGGCGGAGAAAGTGACGTGGAGCGCGCTGGATACGATGCGAAAAGATATACGCGCACACGGAGGAGGAAGAAATCCGGGCGGCAACGCATTTTTTTCGGAGAGTTTCGCAAGCCTCAACAATAGCCTTTAAAGTAATTTATGCGAGTTTCTAGAACGTGTCCCGCACGCGTCGAACCGGTCGTGCTATCGAAAAACCGATCGCGTCATCGTGACTCGTTGTAATCCTTTCAGTAGAAGGTAATCCTCTTTGAATAAAACTGGTCATCCAAAGATCAAGGATTTGACGAGCAACAAGGATTTACAAATCTAAAAACGGCTGCGGTTAAACCGAAAGATGTTTATTCAAGAAGGATCAACAATCGCGGTACAGAACGATTTCTCTCCCAAGAAAAATAAATATGGCAAAGTTGTATATGCAAGATAAAATTTTGATATATTATGCAGGATCCACAAAGATTATGCAAATTAAAAAAAACAAAAACAAGTGTTCCACGCTAATTTTCAGGCTGTATCTCATTACAGATTCAATTTTAATACTAATTTTAATTATCAAGCGATTCTTGCACAGGAATTTATAACTTTTAAATAAAAATTATATTTTAAATTTAAAAAATAATAAGTAATCTAATAAAATTAAGTAAATAAAAAAAGAGTAACGGTATTTCAGCTTGAATCTCTTGTGAGTTTAGTTTTGATTCCAATTTTAATTCTCAGATTGATTTTTGCACAGGAATTTATAACTCCAATAAGTTTAGGAGAATAAAAATGTCTAACGCTAATCTAAACTGTATTTCATTTAATTTTAATTTTGATTCAAAAGTTGATTTTTACACAGAAATTTGTAGCTCTAGTCAAACTCTTATAACTATAATGAAAGGAACTTAATAAGTTCAAGAGAATAAAAGAAATGTCTAACGCTAATTCAGGTTGAATCTCATGGATTCAATTTTAATTTGAATTTCGAATTTTAATTTGAATTTCTCAAGTTAATTTTTATACAGGAATCTACTGTTCTAATAAAACTCTAATGACTCTAATAATTGACACATAATATATTAATATCGCATTTTCTGTTTTGCTTTCACAAACGAAGCTTCACGCGAAAAATATTTTGCGCGACTACGATTGATTCTACCGATCGTGTGAAATCATTCGCTCTTCGGTTGCATCGCGATGTCGCATGCCGGATCCTGTGCATGTCACAGGATGTTCCAGATTCCCCATTGAAATGATGTAACCACGTAGCTCCTCGCAATTCCCTTCAGGGCTGCGTTCAGTTCCGCTACTCGCCACGCAATGTAACGCACAACGAAATCCGGTTGATCGGAAATCGGAGGCAGCTAGAGACGAGTGAAAGTAGCCGTTGTAGCACCGTGGAATTATAGAGTCCGGCTTTCTTGGTTGAAGCCGATGTATGACGTAGGTCGCGCACGTGTGACGAAAGCGGAATTTTCGCGGCAGGTGAAAATAAGATGGCCGCTGTCATGACGCACCGGTAGACGAACGAGCATTTCGCCTTTGATGTTTCCGTCTTTAATTACTTCGATCGGTAGAAAGCGAGGAATTGGAATTTTGAAACAAACATCAGTCTTAATTAATTATGGACGCTGCGTTCGATTTCCGCACATCGCATATTTAAATTCGAATGGATATATGTATACACAAATATATGCACGCAAAACAAGAACTAGCTTCCAGAGCTAAAAAATAGCTGTGGCAGATAAGATGTGTCACTGAAATAGAGCTAATGTCGATACTACCGAAGCTAAATTTATTCGCTGTTAAACTTAGGTGCTACAGCGAGAAATATTAGCTGCTAGAAATAAATGACTGTAACAAATGATTGTAGCTGTACAGCAAACTTCTTTAATATATACATAAGATAAGAAATTTAGGAATAACTGTCATTTTCTGGAAATAATGTGCATTTTTAACGTCACCTAATATATTTGTATTTCATAGCGAATACAGCTGTCATAGCCAATTCTTAACAGTGACAGCTAAACGATTAGCCTTTTGACTAAGTTTGAATCAGCTACCGCGGTTTAGCTGATATTATTAAATCATTTTTTTGCGTGTGTATGCAAAATATTTTTTTCGATGAGTACTATATGTAATAACATATTTTACATGTGCACTCTCTCTCTCTCTAATATATAAATTATTTCTCAAACAAAATATATATATTTTTTAAACTGTAGTCTTTTCGAAAAAGCAATTATTTGTTCCATTTAAATAAAAGAATTAAGGTAAATGTGTTATTAATACCCATTGAAGTATTTTTATATATTTTATATATTTTTATTTTTTAGATATTTTTGTCTCCCAGTGTATATAAACATTAAAAATATAATTTCTAGTAAATGCATTCTTCCTTTCTAATAGAATTTTTTTACTTTACTAACGTTATACAGTATTCAACATTTTACTTCTCTCTTTATTATTTCATATTCTTCATAAAGAAGCTTAAAAGAAAAAGTTGTGATATCTCGTAGACATTATTTCTAATCTTTTTTTCTCTTTTCTTCTAATCGTACGAATATCTATTTACAAACAAAAAATAGAAATGTCGACGAAATGTAAAGACGTTAAATTTCAATCGCAGAATTAGACATTTCTTTTATTCTCTTAAATTTATTAAGTTCTTTTCATCAGTTAATAGAGTTTGATTAAAGCTACAAATTCCTGTGTAAAAATCAACTTTTGAATCAAAATAAGAATTAAATGGATAAGAGATACAGCTTGAATCGCGGGATGTCCAAGACGAGGATGAATCAAACAGAAACAAAGAAAGGAGAACTTGAGAGATTAGGATCGTATTTGAAAATAGACATATCAATCTGAGTTAGAATCATAGAATTAACATTCGAATGGGATTCTGATTAAATCGTCGTTAGAATTCGACGGGAATGGAACTGAGACGTCGAAATGCAAATAGTAATCGCCGGCGAATTCTTTACGACATGAGTTCGTTATCATGGCGATCACGTTTCATATAATCAATTGCAATTATTCTCGCTGCGTAATCGTCACGCGCCTCGTTCTCGGGTTCAAAGAATAACGAGGCGACACTTGGTTTTTTTTTAATTTTTTATTCTCTTTTTTCTTTTTTCGCGGAAACACGATTTGAACAGCTCGCGGAATTGCTCGTGACGTAAGATCGGAATGAATGATCCACGACGGGGGATTTCCGCGATTATTAAGAGAGAGAGCAAACGCTTGTCTCTTTATACACCGTCGCGTATAAACACTACGAGTCACAATGATTCCTCGAAGAACTCCTCGATGTGATTGTTCGGCTCCGGGAGTCGAGTGATGTCACGTATTATACAGTGGTAGCAGTACCAACTGATTTCTTTTAGGGGACGTAAAAAAATTCTCTCAAGGAATATAAAAGAGTTCTTGGATAAATAATTATTTTATTTTTACGATTATGTAAGTATTATTTAGTGTAAAAAATTATTTATAATTTTAAAAGTTCCCGGACAAATGACAAATGATTATTTCTTTTCCCCCGAAAGAAATTGATACGTTTGGAGATAAAATTTCGCGATTTTGAAGGAAGACTGACCCAGTAGTAGAGCCTATTTCGCCGGTTATATCTCCGTCCCCGAAAATGGAACTCCGATGTTAATAGATCCTAGCTCGCTTATCAGGAGGGCGTTCAATGCCAACGAAACACAATCGCGTTAAATGCGATGTTAAATGCGCACGACACGAAACACGCTGGCTATGATTTGATTGTATCGCGCCTTCGCTCTCACAATAACACCACACAGTCAACATCGCCTGTCGAGAGCGTGTTGACTTTGGATATTATATAAATTTTACCGACGCTTTGGAAAGAGATCAAGTACGACGAAAGACAATCACGCTGACATTGATTGATTCATAAAAGATAGGAAAATTGTTCATTTATCACCGAGTGCCCTAAAATTGTCATCATTATCGACCACTTTCACTTGTCCTTTGGAATTTCCAGTTAATCTGAAGCTTACTTTGCATTAGAAATATCAAATATTCCAAATAGAGAATTCGAACTTTTTATTTAATGTTGCTAACGTCACGCTATATTTCAGGTTTTATTCTTATCTTACTTTCATTATTTCATATTATTTATAAAAAAGAGAGAGAGTTGTAATATTCACATATTTCTAATCTTCTTTTCTTTCTTTTTCAGAGCTCCAAGATATTTTAAGGATTAATAATAAGTACATTGCGCTAAAATAGAGCTCGGAATTAGTTGCCCATTTCGGCCGATTCTCGGGAGCTACGCCTTCTATTTTCCCTTTGCCACGAGCGGGCCACGAAAATGACGGTTGCGGCCAGTCGCGGCTTCAAGCTTGAAAACTCGATCGTCACTTTCGTGGCCCGCTCGCGGCAAGGGGAAGATAGAAGGCGTAGCTCTTGAGAATCGGCCGAAATGGGCAACTAATTCCGAGCTCTGCGCTAGAGAATTTAGATTCGTCAATCAATTCGCGAGCATAAAAACGCCATAAACAAGCGTGAACCGATAAGACTTATCGCGGTTGAACTTCCAAGGAGGGTCACTTCGAAGGAGAGCTCGACGCGCAACGAATAAATAACTTTCGACACTAATAATATTACTAGTACTCTCAAGACGAATTTTCGAGATCCTTCGCAATTCCTTGTTTCCCCGGCGAATTTCCATGACGAATTTCTCGAAACGAAACCGAGTCAATATCACACGAAGAAAGAGAGAAGAAAGAGACATTATTGATACTTACCGTGGAAAACATCGTGCAGCACTCTTGAGGTTCCACAGTGAGCAGAATGAGTTTGAGATATCGATAGCGCGATCAATGGAGACGTCCGTTCGACGATCAACAGGAGGCAGGACTGAAGACCGTGCGACCACGAAGAGACGCTTGAGGAACGCTCGCCTGGCTGCTCCTGCCCCACTACGAGTCACGTTTACGTGTAAAACGTAATGACATACATACATGAGCTCATTCAGGATCGGATCGAGTGAGTGAGAGTGTCATGTAAACTCCACGTCCTCCTATTAAAATAAAAATGGAAAAAATAAGTTCGAGGAAAGCCCATCAAAATTCTAATCTAAATCGGATAATCCAGAGACAGAAGCGACAACCTTGATTTTAATTTCTTAAAGAGACGAAAAAATTTTCCAAACGACAGAAACTTTTAAAAAACGTTTTCAAGATGTCTTACAAAAAAGCTTCTCTGCTAAGTTGCTCTGTCGGTAAATCATGAGATCAAGAGAATATTAACTCTTGAAGAAAAGAATGTTTTTTGAGAAAAATAATTTTTTGAATGACTTTCTCTTTCAAGGATCATATAATTTTTCATATTGTCATCAAAATATTAGTTTCAAACTTAGTTTTGATCATGAATTACACGTAAATTTTAGTATTTTCTGCATTGAAAGAAAAAAAGAAAATATATGAAAAATTTTTATTCAGTGAATATTAATAATACATTAACTCAAATCTAAATTCTTTCATCTAAATGGAATAAATAATTATTTTTTTTTTTTTTTTTATGAAAAGCTAAGATTTTAAGAAAACGCATATTTTCTATTTATTTGAAAAAATACTTTACATATGAAGAAATATATTATTAGTACAAACTGAATAAATATTGTTTATTCTTAGATTTCTTTCTTTCAATGTACATATTCTTTCTGCATTAGATTAGAACACTTGTGTACGAAAGACAGAGCCCTGCAGAATTGTCTGTTTCATCAAGACTCTACTTTTCCAATCCGACCCTGAGCGCTTTTATGTGCATGAAGCACACGCCTCTCTCGCGGTCATTACTTCCTCGTCTCTGGAAATGCCCAGTCGTAATCAACTGTTTTATTACCAGAAAATCCCAGCTCTCAAGGACTTCATAATATGGATATTGTAATTGTCGCGAGCACTCTTTACTTTTATCTCTCTTTTCTGCGTTATAAATTTATCATAACTACCATGACCACAAACTGTGCCGAGAATTACCTGCTCGCATATTTGTCTACCCACGACTGTCAGATGGGTCAAGATTAAAGAGTCAATTGGCTTATTAAACGGTCAAGTGTTAAATTTTTAAACTCCGCACACTGTTGCACGTTTCGCATATTACGTGCCAAAGAATATTCTTTTAGTAAATATACTCTTTATATTTTATACAATGAAATGTTTCTTTTCGTGTTAAGCAACATATTTTTAAGAAGTTTTAAATTCAGTATATCTTATATTTATTATTCCTTTTTAAATAACTATTAGTTAAATTAAATTACTGAAGTGTGTGTGTGTGTGTGTGTGTGTGTGTGTGTGTGTGTGTGTGTGTGGGTGGGTGTGTGTGTGTGTGTGTGTGTGTCTGTGTGTGTGTGTGTGTGTGTGTTAAACTAATTAAAGTAACAAAATTTTTACTCACAAGTGTTCCAACTCGACAGCAATAGGTAAAAGTCGATGAGATCTAACATGAGATCTGCAACAAAAATGTAAACAATAATGTCATTAAAACAGCATTTTGTACTTAAAAATTTCTAATTTTTACATATATCTTCAAATATTAAATTTACTTATTTTTCACAACGTTATTTAAATATAAATTCGAAATCCATCAAACTTCAAATTTTTTTATAAAGTTTGTAGAGTTTCAGGATGTAAAAGAAAAGTCGTATACAAACGACTTATATTATACGAATGTACAAATCTTCCTCTTTAATTTGCATATTCACAGATTGCAGTACTTTTTTTAACCGAATTATTTAATGTCCAAAATGTTCGCAAAATGTTCTTCTGACTATAATCGTTCCGGAAATAAATGAATAACTGCATAATGTTTGTTAACAAATTAATAGGAAGCTTAAAAAAATGATAAAAACGAGTTTAAGAAAAGGGATAAATCAACAAGTACACAATCGAAATATTAGTGAGAAATATCTAATCAAGAATAAAAAAACAATAATTATTTTCTAAGAGAGAGAGAGAGAGAGAGAGAAATAGATAGATAGAAATCAAGATCTCATTAATAAGGCCAATAAAAGCCATACATCGGATGGTAGTATGTAAACAATTTAATTATATAAGGATCATGCAACACTTAACCCATACAAATGTAAACGTTTCCGTTTATAATTCAAACCTTCCTCAGTACAAAAAAATGTTTTCTAAATCGCTCACATACATGATCATGGACGCATGTTAAACGCATTAAAACGTACAATAGTACTGCGACTGCGATTTCGTAATATGCGGTAGTTGACTGAAAATGGCTTGTAAAACCTATACTCCTTGGTCTACAAAATATCTTTCAATGCCACAGCTGGTTGACAGTCCGCATCTGGTTGCAGCATCTGGGAGATTGTTGTAGCGAACTGTCAACCAGCTGTGGCATTGAGAGATGTTTTGCAGACCAAGGAATATAGCTTTTACGATCCATTTTTAGTCAACTACCACGTATTACGGAATTGCAGCCACAGTACTATTGTACGCTTTACAATGTATTTAACATGCGTCCATGATCATGTATGCGAACGATCAGAAAACATTTTTTTATACTGAGGAAGATTTGAATTATAAACCAAAACCGAAACGTTTACATTTATATGGGTCAAGTGTTGTATAATTCTTATATAATTAAATTATTTACATACTACCATCCGATGTTTGGCCTTATTAATGAGATTTTGATCTAATCAAGAGTCAAAATAAATAATTATTAACGCAATATTTATGATTTCATGCAACTGTGTAACGTAAAACATTTATTAATGTTTGTACTTTCACTTTGTAAAAGATGCATTCAATTGAAAGAAAAGTATATAGTATAAAATTAAAACCCTTAAAACGTTGTTGGATCTCGATATGACGAAGATTCGTAGTTTTCTCTTTTCTTGTAATTATACGTATCAAATTGAAAATGCTTTTATCGGGAACAAATGTTAATGAATGCTATCCAGTTGTATAAAATCATAAAAAATATTTATTTATCGACAATCAGTAAATTAACCAACTTTTATCAGATATATTAGCCATATATCGATCTAAAAGTTAAAATAAATCAATGTAGAATTGACGCGAGTCATCGAGTATACACGCCAAAAAAGGACTAGCTAAAATATAACTGTGAACATCTAAAATGTGTTATTGCATTAAGGGCAGTTCATGTCGTTGCTGCCAAACTAAATTTATTAGCTACTTAAACTTCGATGCTATGGCAAAAGATATTCACTGTTAGACAAAAAGTTCCCATTATTATCATTCTACTTTTCCTTTAAATTGCATTCCATACCCGTCAAAGACAAAACTAACGCTACACATCACAAATCCGAACCAAGATTTCCTATTGATCGTTAACACAGATTGACAATTAATGTCTGCTTTAATGCAAACACAAAAACCGATGTCTTTCGTACTTACATGACTGCGCCATTTGATCTTTATCCCACAGAAGGATGATTTCACTTTTATCGGAAGCGCGGTAATTTCCCCTTTCCGACGATCTTTGTTTCAAGTCGCTACGACGTCCACGAGTGAAGTTATTCACGATTATATCGATGCGTGTTTTAGATCACGCGGCGGTATCGGACATAACAAGGTACGACGCGACAAGTGAAAGAAACACGGAAACGCGACTACGCTTCCGGAAGTCACCTTGCGCTCTGTGGCTGTGCGCGGTAGTATGCGGCGAGCCCCCCTCTCGGTACCCCCACTCTACGGCTCAGATAAGGAGACAAACTCCGCCCACTTGCTCGCCGCGACTACGCGGTCGTTCACATTAGCGTATGTGTATGCATCGCGCGCGCGTGTGTATGTGTGCGTGCTGTTAGCATATACGGGTTAATTTTCTCTATACTTGAGTACTCAAATCCGCGCATATTATACAGGTAGGTACTTGAGTAGTATTCATATACGGGGATATTAGCCGAGTATCCAGGTATAATAGTTGTGAAAATATTAAATTTTCCTAATTAAATTTTTCTCAATTTAACAATTGATTGACAAATATGTTCAATTCAACTAATTAACAATTGATTCAAGCAAAATCAACCGAAGAATGATTGACAATTAATTTCGACGAATTCAATTAAAGACTGTTCGAATGACGATTGATATGAACGAAAGGAATCAAATATCGTTTAATTAACGATTGACAAGCTGCATACAAATTTAATTAAAAGCGGTTTAATTGACGACTGAATTTAGCAAATTTAATTAAAAGCATTCGATTACTCAATTGGTTTTGTGGATAATATTCATTCTCAAGGTTTCATAATATCGTGAAAAATATCGATGATTCAATAAAACCTGCGTTGAAAGGAACACTGAACATATCAAACGTCACCAAGCAAATTTTCGATTAAATAAATTGAATTTGCTCGTATCGATCATCAATTAAACGTTGTTTAATTAAATTAAAACGTTGTTAGTAACTTTTCACGGCACTTTTCACGACACTTTACGCGGCACTTTTCGCAGCACTTTTAGGGCGTAGTAACTTTCTATTAGATAATCTTAATATCGACAATGCATATATCAACGACGACGCATTCAATCAATACAATACGTTTTCTTGATGAGTATTATACCAGCTTAATATACCGTTATTTATATACAGTGTGTCTTAAAAATATGAGAACTCCTGAATATCTTTTTATAGTGAGGTTTTTCGATAAAACTTTCAAAACAAAAGTTGTAGGATTTCAGAAGCTGAATCTGATGGTGATCTTAAAATTGACCTTAAATTTGACCTTGTAGGCCATTTCAAAGTCAACTTTATTTTTTCAAATGGAACATGCATATTTTCATGACGGATTCGGAATCTATGCCAAAAACTGAGCCAAGCCCATAAAAACGCCAGTTTTTAGAGGATAAAGAGTTCTCAGAGTTAATTTCAGATGCTGTTATTAAAAACAAACCTCCAATAGCTCCCACATTTACAGTATCCATCTACAACTCATTAATAAATTAATTTTCCCATATTTTTTACTACAATTATCCCAGCAAACAAAATATTACTGTTATATAACATAGACGTAACACGTACTCTTGTTACTTCTATGTTATATAGCAGTTATGTTTTTCTTTGTTAAGATTGTAATATTTCGACTATGTAATATTTAATACACATTTTTGTATATTTATTGAACATATTACATCAATTACTACTATTCTCTATTCTTTTTATCCATTAACCCAGACAGCACAAAATATTTATAAAAATATTTATAAAATATTTACAAAATGTTTATAAAATTTATTTGAATATTTTATGAATATTTACCAAAATTTTTCATAAATATATTTACAAATATATTTACAAAATATTTTTGTGACCTTAGTTTCAATAGGTGAAAAATATTTATATATTTCATAAATATTATAAAAATATTTATTAAAATATATACATTTATGTACTATTATATTTTCTCTTTTTCTGAATTTTTCTTAAAATTTCCATTTTATTGTTTCAAATGTTACTTAATTAAATTTAAATTGTACTTTGAAAATTTGCTTACCATTGCTGAGATTCGAATTTCTTATTTTTTTATTAATTTAATAATTTTAAATAATTAACATTAAATTTACATTAAATTAACATTAACATTAACATTAACATTTATTTTTTCATATATAATATTTGTAAATAGATATATTTACAAAATATTACTACAAATATTTATATTTCGTTTACTATAAATATTGTATAAAATATTTAGTCTGTATTTTAATAATATTTTTAATAAAGATTTTGATACTTTTCTTTCATGTAAAATATTTATATTATATTTATATAATATTTTTAAGAAATAATTCGAAATAAATAGTTATCATAAATATTGTGTGCTATCTGAGAAACGCACTACTTTCTGCACATCGTATACAAAGAACCGTATTCGTACTTAAGGTTCCTGCACATTCAGAACTCAGGCTACAATTTTTCGGCAGCCGCTTAGATTAGGATGCTAAAAGTTGCAAGCAGTTGCACAATTCTGCTTGCAACTTAAATTAAAGAACGGCCAATATGTAAGCAGTCTGCAGCTTGATATGCGCAACTGCATGTACAGAACGATTAAATTATGCATCGGATGCATCGAGTTGTATCTGTTGCAAATAAAAGAACGCACCCTTATGGCTCCTGCACATAGGATGCGGTAATGCTTGTCGCGCGGCGAAAGTCCGTACGACAGCTAATCAATATGCTGCTTTCCGTAATAACCTTCTAGCTCTTACGGAAAAGCAACATATTGATTGGCTGTCGCACGGACTTCCACCGCGCGGCAAACATTACCGCGTCCTGTGTGCAGGAGCCATTAGAGTTAGTTCCAGAGCCGAAAATTATGATAGGCATGACCATCTAGTACTTTTGTAGTTTATGACAACTTCTTCTAAAGCTAGCCACTAAAGATACCCGATTCTTATGGCTCCTGCACATAGGACACGGTAGGGTAGGATCCGATTGACCACGATACGATTGGACACAGATTGTAATGATTGGTTCGACCTAGTAATTCACTAGATAACTCTTTTCATCGGTTGGTTGTGTCCAATCGTACCGTGGTCAATCGGGACGCTCCCGACACGGTAATGCTTGCCGCGCGGCGGAAGTCCACGCGACAGCCAATCAATATGTTGTTTTTCCGTAAGAGCTAGAATGTTATTACGGAAAGCAGCATATTGATTGGCTGTCGCGCGAACTTTCATCGCGGGGCAAGCTTACCGCGTCCTGTGTGCAGGAGCCATTAATCGATTCGATTCTTTTCCTAACAAATTTAGGGAAAAAGGGTTCGTGCTGCTTGCATGTTTCATACTTTTTGCTCTTAAAAAGATATGGACGCCTAATCAGACGTTTGGAAGAAACAATCGAGTTGGTTATCTCGTTTTTGCTTCTTCGAAACATTCCAATATACTTTTGTCTAGTTTTAAATACCAAAAGTGCGAAAAGTGCAAACAACACGAATAAGCTTATTTTTGGGGAAAGAATTGAATCGATTCAGAATCGGGCATCTCTACTAGCCACACATACTTTTCGTAACAGTAACCGTAAGACGTAACGTAAGAATTGACCAATTACGATCGAGTATTCATAAAAATGGCGACCTTACGATTCGACGATTCACAACATGATTGGTCAATTCTTACGTTACGTCTTACAGTTACTGTTACGGAAAGTGTGTGTGGCCAGCTTAACTCAATGCCTTACCATAGGAACAAGTTGAAGTAATGCCCAATTTCTTTACCTCCGGTTAACTTTATCTGTCGAATAAATGTCAACCGTGATTGGTTAATCTTGCCAACCATAAATATGATTGGTCAATTCCAATAGAATAACTGGCAGATAAAGTTAACCAGAGATGAAGAAATTGGGCACAAGAAGTAAAGAACGCGCATTCGACATCAGGTAATAATTTTGTAAAATCTCACGATTATATCCATATTTTTTAACGTGTGATAAGATTATTTGTATTTTATTAAAATGATACTTATTATAAACTATCATGTGAGAAATCTAAAGTGTAAAATATATAATATATAATCCTAATTTAAAATAATATGTATCCTAATTTATTTACAAGAATTCTATTTATACTATTCATACATGTGACGGAAAGTACAATTAAACTTACGAGTTTAAAATTACGGTTTGTGAAAATTATTTATTAATTAATAAATAATAAATAAAGCGTACCCGCTTGCTTTACGTTCCGATGTTTCAATTTACGCTTTGTAAGCGCTTCACTTGCAATTCCATCACTCTTTGTTTACACTTTATTTACTCTCCAATTTCTATTTTTGCCAGGGATTCTGTTTAAGTCAACTAAAAATAAGCGGATACGCTTGCTTTACATTCCAATGTTTCAATTTACGCTTTGTAAGCGCTTCACTTGCAATTCCGTCACTCTTTGTTTACACTTTATTTACTCTCCAATTTCTATTTTCGCCAGGGATTCTGTTTAAGTCAACTAAAAATAAGCAGGTACGCTTGCTTTACGTTCCAATGTTTCAATTTACGCTTTGTAAGCGCTTCACTTGCAATTCCGTCACTCTTTGTTTACACTTTATTTACTCTTCAATTTCTATTTTCGCCAGGGATTCGGGTTACTTCAATCGGAAGTTTTGGTTTGTTTATATTCGACCAGATATTTGGTTAATTCAAACCTTTTTTTCCGTGTACTTTTTATTTTATTTGTTCATTCATTTAGATTCAATATTTTGCAAGTAAGCGAACTATCGCGAATCATCGCTTGATTTTTTACATAAACGGGTTTTTTCCAGATAAAAGAAAATTAAAATTCAATCTCTTCTAATTAGAATCAATTTCTTCTTGCGAATGTGCGACAACATTCAATTCAAAGATTATGACTCGATAAGACAAGTCATATCTCGTTGAACAATATCTATTGATTGCCCGTATTTCCGTGCCCTCAAAGTTGATTGATCACTTTAATAAGAGTTATTGTACTGTCTCACCCACTTCTGAACAAATGACTTTGACTTTCTAACTACTTTAGCCTGAGCATACGTTAATTTTGGTCTTTCTACATGCAAAACTAGAAATACTTTTGTATTAAGGCCATACACTTTCTTATGAGGCAGACTATATTTTGCTCAGCTAAACAAATAGCACAAATGAGGAAATATCCAGCAACGAAATTATAAACTCGATAACAGCATTTTGCTGCAATATATTTTTTGTACAATGTTATTTATACAAACAACATTTTCTACAATGATATATATTAATATAACATTTTATTCAAATATATTTCCATATATAATTTCTATATATATAATTTATTTCTATAAACGCTCGAAGGGAGGGGGGAGATGCTTCGTGAGAGCATTAAATCTTTGGGAAAAATAAATGCAACAAACTTTCTCAGGTACACATACATATTATGAGTCAGGCTCATAATATATACACGCACTCCCTAATTATCATTCGTATTTCATAATAAAGTGACAATACTGAACTGGTGCAAATAACTTGTCGTTTTTGTCGTAGCTAAAGTTAAAATTAATTGTACAATTTCGATTAATTGTACAATCAATTAATTGATCAATGTTGATCTTCATAAGTTAGTTTTTTTGTTCGAAGCATTTTAGTCTTTGGACTTCGATGAAAACGGAAAAATACTGAGTTCTTTGCGCCAATTTAATACTCTCGACTTTCTTATTCTAATAAAAGTATCTAAGAACATGATCTAATACTGCATGTACCCAATATACCCAGTAAACAAAAAATATTAGACCAACATCTTGAAGTGTTACCTTTATCCTTATCTCTTTTTTAACAATTTCACTCAATATTTTAAAATGTTTGAAAGAAATCAATGTAATGTGATTCTTTCGAGTAACCTGCCGTATAAAAAACGACCACATTATCTCCTTTTGAATAATATTATGAAAATATTATAAAAATATTTTAAGAAGATTGATGTATATTGAAGTTAGTCACGATGATATTGATTAACGTTAAGCTGTACATTAGAAAATCTATGCTATTCAATATCATTGCAATAACATTCTGACAACGATTTTTCGCCAACTGGGTACAAATACGATATATAAAATTAATATATCTGTCTAAAACTATTAGGAACAAATGCACACTGTTTGTAAAAAGATATCTACGATCGATCGGCAAAAATATTCTATAAAATTAAGTGTATGGATTCAATCCGAACGATTGATAAGTAGTGGCCTTGTTTTATCCTCTATACTTAACAAATTTGTTAGTCCCGATCTACAATAAGCCCTAAGCTTTAAGAAATTCACCAATTACAGTCAAATTTGAGGAAAATAATAGACTGTAATTTGTCAATTTCTTAAGGCTTAAAGCTTACTATATCTATTGTAGATCGAGACTTAGAGTACATTCTGCCTCAACAGTCATTATGTAGCTCCGTCGATGTATTGTCGCTCTCGTTACTTATGGTTTGCGTCGTAATGGATGATTTGTTTTCGTTGCTGGTCAACAACTGGGAGCACTCGCCACTTTGGTAAAATTGCACGATATTGAGAATTCCCATCAGCAGGTACATAAAACCCAGAATCACAAAATAGCCGCCATAGACGAAGTACTAAAAGAAGAAGGAAAAAAGATGACAAAAATTCAAATGAATAATCAAAAGCTCTACGATTAAAATCGAAATACAAGGAACTCAAGAATATAAAGACAATGAGAGCAAAATTGCTGATGCTAGGTTCTGTTAATAATGTTCACGCAAGTACAATTAGGACCGATTTTTCAATGATTCAATAAAATTTAAACTTAAATTTAAGTTTAAACTCTGTTCAAACACAGAACAGAATTTAAACTTAAATCTAAGTTTAAACTACTATTAAAAAATCATTAAAGGAACGGGACGTTTCAACTAAAATATGTAATCAATTTCAATCGCAATATAATTGAAATAAATACCCTATAAAAAGATTAAAAAACAGATATGTGTACATGTATGTATATTTCACATATTCTAATTGTGCTGATGTGTATTCGTTGTCGCTACATTCTTCTTCTTTGTGTTTAAAAAAAAAATGATAACGATCGCGTCATTCAACTACAATCATCAGACGGAAAATAAATAATTTAGGACTCTGCTGGTATCAAGTCAAAAGTAACTAATTAAAGAACCAATAAATGTCTACCCACACAATGGAAGTAGTGTAATAAAATTTGTTCTCACCTGCCACCGGATATTCAACATGAGCGTGTTGACAACCACGAATGTGAAAAGGCTCTCCGCCGCCAGTGCGACGAAGATGTTCATGCCGAATATCAAGCCATAACTGTCCTCACAGATGTACTTGGCAACCTCGAAGCTACGAACAAGTATAACGTCCCTATGTGACATTCTTTCAATCTTCATAGGCACCGTCGCCTCAGTAATTTTATCCGGGATAAGAATCCACCTCGATCACAGTATCTCCAATAATGTCAAGATACTTTTGGAGATGAGAACTATCTTATTACGGATTTTAATTCAGCTGAATTACCTCGCTACGGTAACCATGGTATGGTAAATTACGCCGAATATGATGTAGCCGGCGTAGAGGAACCAGATATTATAGCTGTAAGAGCATTCGATCATTATAGCACCTCCGAGAAACGAGAATATGGACAACGATATGTCTCCCCATACAATCCAGTTCAGTCGTATCTTTCCTACGCAAAATACGGTCATCGAACCTGTTGATAAAAACACGGAAAAGATAAAATTATTACTCAAACACATCCAACTTATTGATCGTCGCCGGCTCTTGTCGCGAGTCCAATATAATTAGCACGTAAGGTAAATGCCCTAATGACTAAACTATCCACATAACACGTCTAAAATCGGAGCATAAGACGTTTTAAAGACATCATAAGACGTCTTTCAGGCTTCATATGAAATATTGAAAACAATTTCACATTATTTCTTTTTCTCTTTCTCAGAATTATTAAGCAAATCGTAATATTGAGCAACAAGCAAAGAATTAAAAAAATACCAGTTAGTGCAATCTATTAATAAATATTTAAAAATGCAAAAACAGATTTAACACGCACATGAGAAAAGTAAATTAGGTATTACTCAATCCGATCTTCGACGCATGTGTGTTATCATATTATCGCGCTATTTCATCACAATTTATATCAGTTAATTAGTCTATATCGCGCCATGGAGATCTCCAAATGCAATTTCGAAATTGCCCTGGTTTGTCGAAAATTTTTATCGAGCTAACGCGTGCTGCTGTTATCAGTCGTCTAGAAATTTATCTTGAATAGATGTGCACGATTAAGAAAACGTAGGTAAGCCGTGTAATCGATTCAGCAGATAGCATTAATGAGAACGCAGCACCTGCGATAATAATTCCCAGTCTATTCGAGATAAAAGCAATAACCGCAGAACTGAACAATAATCGATTGTTCACTGCGATACATTCTAATAATACATTTATAATCGTTGGCAGTAAATTAATAGATATACATTGTCCCGAAAAAAAAGAACTTATAAGAAATGGCGCAATTTCCCGAAAAGTCAAAATCGCGAAATTCGAACACAAACTAGACAAGCTCCTAAAATACAAGTTTCTAAGTGTATTGGAAGCATACAGTTTTATGCAAAGTTACAATCAGAACAACAAGACAATGACTGAAAAATTATTACTATAATAATTATTATTATTACTTTTATTATAATAATAAATATTATATATATATATATATATATATATATATTATAATAATAAATCGTTATTATTATTTCGGGACTAAACCTTGTTGAAAAAAAAACGTATTCGAATTTCTGGATTATGATTTTTATGTCCACCAATAAACTCCCCAGTAAGCAAGGAACATTAAATTAACGTTTAAAAACGTTGACTTCATGTGCATTGTTTGGACATTTTTTAATAATATTGCATTTATATTTTTTACGTTATTTTATGATATGATTTTTCTGAATATTGTTTTAAAAACATTATAAAAAATATATTTTTCAAATGTTACTTTAACATTTATTTGATCAATGCAACATCTTAAAAATATTTCTGCCGATTAAAACATTATAGCAACTCTATTTCAACATGACTTCCAAATCGCGGTCAAAATATATTCGTAATGATGTTTGATACAATATTAAACACTACACATTTTATTACAGGTTCTTCAATATCATTGTAGCAACGTTGCATTAATGATTTCTTGCTTACTGGGTCCTACCTGTTTAACTTTACCTAATAATGTAGATGGTTTCATTGTCGGAAATTTGCGACAGAGTGATTAGAGTAGGCTCACCTATAATTGCATATATGAAGTCCACCGCGCCGTTGTAGATCTCGTCATTGGACTGCACCGTGTCCAACCACAACAACTGCATGTAATTAGCGATTTGCAGATAACCGCAAGTGCCCAGGGCCCACCATAGAGACCACTTGAGTACGCGATGATTAGTATAGGCTTGTACGAAATGCTTCCATAGCAGCGCATACGCATGCACGATACTGCGGAACATTTTGCGCCTCGTGCCGTGCTCGGTGCCACACAGGAACGTTTTAGAACGACGCAACCACATATTGCACAATAATTGGTGCTGCTCATCAAACGTGTCACCATCATTAAATCTGCCGCAACACAGCCGTCGCCAATCATTTCGCCTCGATTGAGCAATCTTCTTCTCCTGCTTGGCGGCGAGATTCTCTTCGACATCCGCGCGATGAAAATAGATCGATTGACCTACGGAAGGTAGGAAGAGCGCCCAGATCGTCGCTATGCAGTAAGCTGGAAAAAAATTATATATATATATACAGGGTATCCGAAACCTTTCTTGATACAAATCGTAGGAAAGTAGAATGGATTAAACGGAACAGAAAAATCAAATATCATTTTGCGAAATTCGCAATAATTTTCAAGGAATTAATTATTTTGTCTGAACAAATTAGCGCTCGAGCCGGTGTACGACCATGATACACGCGAATCGCAACTCGCAGCGTTTCTCCGCCCATAGCTACGATGTATCTCGTAGCCATAGTTACCAGTTACGAGATACAGCATAGGTCGAGTTTTTTAATACATCGATGGATCCATCGCATGATGCGCAAATGCAACATTTTGCTGTATTTACGCATCATGGATCTATCGATGAATTAAAAAACTCGCCCGTAGCTATGGGCGGAGGGACGCAGCGAGCGGCGATTCACGGTCGCGCGGCGGCCCAAGCGCTAATTTGCTGAGACAAAATAATTAATTACACGAAAACTATTGCGAATTTTGCAAAATGGTATTTGACTTTTCTGTTCCGTTTAATCCGTTCTTCTTTCTAACGAATTGTGTCAAGAAAGGTTTCAGACACCCTGTATATTATATATATTAAAATAGATTATGACGTACATATTGTAATGGAATTTCAATTTAAGACTCAGAAAGATCGAATGCAGTAAATATTTTTTAAGCGCGTAATTCATCCTTCTTATATCTCCAATCATGAAAAATAAATATTAAAAGTCTCATATACCCGCGAGAGTTATATAATTCAGCTGATGATAGTCCAACAAGTTGAAGGAAGCAGTTAACTGTGCCACTACACCAGACATGCTGCGGCCAAACAAGGAGGCTGCCTTGGTATGACCTGTCACTTCTTGATAATGCTCCTTATCCACTTTGGCATATATGTATGTGTAGTAGGCTACCTCTGCTGATAGGAACAACCCATAAAAGAACTCCATAATTCGCATTTGCATCACAGTCTTGCCAAGTAATATGAGAGTGAAGGTGATGACACCTGAGAAGCCACAGAGTATGATAATGGGCTTATATCTAACAAAGTCCGTAATCAGGAAGACAAATATCAACATCGCTGCATAGCTGTATGTGCTCACAGGATAAATATCTTGATTTACCTGAAAGATCAACATATTTTCAATGGCACATGCTTATTAAACGTCATGCTTGATCTAAGAATAAATTTACAGCACAGACTAAAACTGGTTTAGTAACATCCATACTTTATCTGTTTGCAAGACTAGTATAAAATACTTATGTTGTAAAATACTTATACTGTGTTGCAACATAATATGTTATAACTGTATATTATATTATATACTATATTTATAATATGTAATAACCAGATTAAACAATGAAAGATCTGTGGATTTTGTTTAAAGAATGAATGACTTACTAAGAACGAATGCTCAAAAATTAATTAAAAAGAATTTATATTTTTATTTCACTTTTAGAAGTCTGATATAAATTTACGAACATTGTTTCCTAAACAAGTTAGAGAAAAATTATCTCATGACATTCTTACTTTCTGTGTTAAATCTACGAATCTGTCATATAATAAAATGAAAATTTCATACAATTTGTGATCTTTCATAAACATCATTTACAATTAATATTCAAAATAGATAATATCTGGAATTATCAAAATCAATTTTATATATATCACATAAATCAGTTTTAGACTGTTGTGTAAGTGCAGTCAATGCTAATCTAGTAACAACCTCACTGCTTGTGAAATTCTTCCATGGTCCCATTAAGTAATTCGTTATGAATGATTCGGAAGGTCGGAAATCCTTGAAGCACCCAAACATGCACAGGATGAATGATATCTTGATCCAATGCATAGTGCCTGGGACGCGTTTGCCTCTTCTTCAAACGAGCTTGAACACACTCTGACAAACTGAAGACAATGTTAAGTACGTCTCTGGAAAAGAAGAGAACGGCTTATTCAACGCACTATCAACGTAGCGAACATTACGAGTGACACGCTCGATTTAATTATATTTTCACTTGATTGCTCCCCACTGTGAAATTGGAACAATAGTAAAATAACGTGTCGTTATATTTTAAAATCAATGAAATCCAAGTAGATTTAGTTTTATTAGTTTTAATTTTCGTTTTAACGCCTATCAATTTCCTCTGTGCATTGTCTGTGAAGTGTGCTTAGTTATTCATTCAAATAGATAATATATCTTGTAATCAAATATCCTACATATTTCCGCGCGCTACAATACATTTTAAAACTAACCACTCTGTACCTGAGCGCTCTCACGCGCGTACTGCATTTCAATGCACATTTCGCGACATATCAACGTGCTCTATCGACTCTCACCTGAAACTACACGATACCTAGAGAGCGTACTCCGAATCAATGATAGCGAATTCAGTAGCTTGCATAAAGCGTCGTCTACAATATGCGGAGTAAGCTTAGAATAAGAAGTAAGCCGTAAGAATTAACCAATCATAGACGATTATTTTTATAATAATCGACTACGATTGGCCAATTCTTACGGCTTACTTCTTACTCTAAGCTTATTCTGCATATTGTAGACGACGTTTTAAAGTCCCTATATTAAGGAATGTCCCATGGCATGTATTTTCGTAAGCACGTAACCAATAAATTGTGATGTTTAGTATTTCTGTTGGAACTTCTAAAAGAATAGAAAGATGTGATTGGTTACGCGGTTATGCGTTACGCGAAAATACGTGCCATAGGACTTCAGCTTTATTCACCAAATCACCAAAAGACCTTATGGCTCCTGCCCACAGGACGCGGTAATGCTTGCCGCACGGCGGAAGTTCGTGCGACAGCCAATCAATATTCTGCTTTCTGTAATAACTTTGTAGCTCTCACGGAAAAATAACATATTTATTGGCTATTGCGTGAACTTCCATCGCGCGGCAAGCGTTGCCGCGTTCTGTGTGCAGGAGCCATTAAAGACCTTGTGCTCATCATTCTATCACCGACGAGATATTATTAAAGATTGTCAGCCCTGGGTAAATTTTCGACCCACCAAAAGGCCCGGAGGGACCCGAGGGAATTGAAGAACGATGATAATACCAACCGTTTTTCACACAAAGACGCTTCTGTTTATCCGTGTGACTACCCTTACAAAAAAAAAGACAAAAAACCCTCAATTTTGAGTGATAACACTCAAATTTAGATGTTTATCCCCAGTTTTTGGATGTTACACCCAAAATTGAGGGTTTTTTCGTAAGAGTACACCATCGACATATAGTACTGGACAGAGCATTGTGCCGAAATCGTATTGACAGTAAGAATATAGGATATAAGAAAAAGGTGAAAATGTACAGATTTCTCGGGATCGCTAAAGAGAGAGAGCCGGTAAGATCGACGGTCTTTTATAGTACCTTGTCGGTGATTCTATACACCATGCAATGATATTTTAAGCACTAAAACGCACCAGATAAACTTATCCTATGTATACAATTACCATCTGCGCTATTTCACCTACTTTACCGACAGGCGGTTATTACTAACAGAAGAAATTTTCTATTACACTAAGAATACGATCCAGCTGGCGCTGCAAATGCTTTGTAGCGTTTTTACTTCTTTTTCTTTCTTCATTCGAATCCGAGAAATAGAACAAGAAGGAGAAACGCTGCATAGCATTTGTAACGGTTGTTGGACCGCACCCCTTGGCCTTCACAGCCCCTCGTCAATAATCGCAATTTACACTCCGTCCATATCTATGGACGTATTCTTACATCCATATCTTAAACATAGGAAATAATATTGGCTACCATAAATAAGTAAACCTGTACATACTGAAATAAAGTAATTAACACCTGAAAGGATTGAAAATTTTAATACAGAATTTTAATATAGAAATTTTAAATATAGATTGTAAAGAAATAGCCCAGAATAATTCGTTACAACAATGTCTTTCCGCGGATTAATGTCGAAAATTATCGATTCGAAATTAGCATCGAAATTTCGTTATTTTCAAGCAACAAAAAGTTGCATATACCGATACAGCACAAATATTCACTAGATATCCTAAAAACATTCTAAGGATATTGAATATTCTTAGAACGTTCTTAGGATATCTATTAAACATTTGTGCTGTATAAAGCCTTATGATAGATGCCTCAAAGTTACATGCCTAAAAGTTAGTTGTAACGAGACGACGTCAAAAAGATACCAATCAGGTTTCTGCATAAAAATCCTTAAAAATATATATTAATATCAAACAGATATACATAAAATATATATTCAATAATATATATTAAATTGCATATATACTCACAACCATTTATTGTTCAAACATGTCAAAATATCGAAATAAATATCGAATCGTTAATTTTCGATGTTTCGAAAAAAACATCGTTTGGACAAATCGTCTTTGGATACGTAAATAAACAAACCGTTAAATTTTTATAGCGCAATGATATATATTAGTATCATGAATTTTGTTATCGTAAGTACCATTTGTATCTCGCCCGGATGAATATCATGGATGAGTTCAAACTTGCAACAAACATAAGATTTTGTTTGAAACTAGGAATGTCAAAGGAGGAAACATTTGAAAAGATTAAAACTGTGTACACCAATGTGACTTTTGACATTATATGCACACACATTGATCAGTTCAACAAGGAAAATGACTTGGAAAAGTCGCTTCCGCCAGACGTTAAAACGGTTACGGAGAAAGTACGTGAAATAATTCGTTCTAGCCCTTACATAAATATCAAAGACATCGCGAAGCACATTGGTGTTTCAATAACATATATTTATTACATCTTAAAAGAAAAACTGAATACAAAGTGTGTCTGTGAACGTATCGTACCACGCACGCTTTCGGACGATCAAAAAAATGATCGGATGGAGTTCTGCCGCGACATGATCAAAGAGTGCGAAACTGATGAAAATTTTTTGAAAACTATAGTTGTTGGCAACACATGGCGTTTTGAATGTGAGGCTCTGCCGGAGCAGCAGAATTGTAATACGAACAATTGTGGATCGTCGAAATCCCAGCAAATGCCCAACCAGGGGCATCAACGTGATATAATGATGACTGTTTACTTCGATTTTAAAGGACTTATATACATAGAATTTCATCCTGAGGGTCAGACAATAAATGCCGACTTTTATTTAGGCGTATTAACTCGCATGCTAGCGAAAATCCGTGAGATGCGGCCGCAATATAACAAACAAGATACTTGGTCGTTACTACACGATAATAGTGCGATGCACAGGTCGAAGATCATACAGAGCTTTATGGCCGAAAATGGCATCACACAGCTTTACTGCCCACCATTCGCGCCGGATTTATTACCATGTGACTTCTTCCTTTATTTCAAACTGAAAAAACATATGAAACAACACTCAAATTGTAACGTTCAAAGTACTTTACTCACATTCACAAACTCCATTTTGGAAAAAGAATACATGGTGTGCTTTTGCGATCTGTATAACCGTTTAAAATTTTGTATTGAATTAAAAGGAGAATATTTGAGTTAAACAATTTATCGTCGTTAATGTCGATTGTTCTTGATCCGAAATTAGCGCCGAAATTTTGTCATTTTCGTGCAACAAAAGATACGTATACAAGATCGGTGATAATGTGTTATAGATTTGCTACACAGTCAAGGATTAAAAGGTTATCTGTAATTTTTTATATGAGTTTGTTAATTCATTCTTCTTGTCCAATAAGAATTCTTCCATTGAAAAACAAAATCTTCCAGATAAGATAGAAAGTTCACAAACTCCTTTTAGCTGCCGACTTTACGGAAGTTGAGTAGCGAGACGGCAACGAAACGATATAAATTAAATTTCTGAAAAATCCTTTAGAATGTGAGATTGTATGAAACAAATACACATAAAATAGTGATGTTGTTTAATGTAAAAACAGCAAAATGTTCAAAAGTATCGAAAATTTTCGATGTAAATTTCGAGTCGACACAATTCTCGATATTAATAACATCGAAACAATATAGTTTCGTCATACCATTTCTAATTGTATATGTAAACAAACAAAACGTTAAATTTTCTCAGCCCGTTGGCACTATAATGTCAGAAGCGATGCCGTCGAAAGTGACAGTATCATTTGTACCTTGGTTAAAAAAACACTATGGAGCAACTGGCGAATATCTAATTTTGTTTCAAACTGCGAATGTCAATTTTAGAAATACACGAAAAGATACAAACTGTGCACGGTAATGAGGTCTTCGATGTTATCGATATACAGCGGTGGTATAATATGCTTCGCCAAACAGTACAATATTCGGAAGACTTCTCAGAATGTATTGAGTTAGAAACGGCTCTGACTCTGAAAAATATAAAACAAGGAAACAAAATCTGTGAACGATTCATACCGACAGAGCTTGTGGACGAACAGAAAATTAATAATTGTGTAGCGTACTCTCGCGACAACATTAGAGTATCCGATGCAGATGAAAACTTTTTGTACACTATAGTCACCGGCGATACATGGTGTTTCCAATTTGAACAATTCACGGTGGACCTGACTTCTGATACGGCGAATTCCGAATTGCCTGAACTGAAAAGTGGGTGCGCAAAAGAAACGAATCGAAATAATACATACTGTTTATTTCGATATTAACGGAGTAATACTTGCGGAATTCCTTCCTGAGGACTAGAAAATGAACACCGATTATTATTTGGGCGTGGTGACCCGTTTGCTGGACAATATCTGCAAGCTTTGGCCGCAATATCAGAAAGAGATTGCTTGGTCACTGCTACATGAGAATACTGCGATACATAGGCCGAAAATCGTACAAAACTTTCTAACCGAAAGAAGAGTCACACAGCTTTACCAGCCACCACATTCGCCAGATTTAGCACCATATGACTTCTTCCTCTTTCACAGACTCAAAAAACATATGGAAGATTACCAATATCACTCGACTTCTGCCGTTCAAACCGTTTTAAGCGATTATATAAAATTAATTTCGAAATCTGAATACGAGATGTACTTCGACGATTTATATGACCGTTCTAAATATTGTATTGATTTGATAAGGAACGTATTTGCATCATAAATATATGTAATAAATGTCTGCCACTAATAGTATTTCAATTAAACATTAAAAAGATAAAATTTTAGGTTTATAAAGATAAAAGTGTTGCATTGTTTATTGCTTCATGTGCGAGTAGGATATTCATTTTTTTTAGCTATAGGATCTAGTCATAAATTCAAGTGATTCAATTACCACTCTACTTTTCGAATAAAATATCGTTCCAAGGAGTTTCGAGAGTATTGATATTTGTGATATTATTTTTAAAATGACTAATAATGTCGAAGAGAAGTTAGCAGACTGGAGAGCTGAAAAAATACCTATTTTTC